GTTAACCTTGTCGTCAAGGCGGCCACCACGAAGCACATATAACAACTCTTCCCTGTTAATACTGCTGTTGGTTGTTACTATAACATTATATCTCCTGGTATAAATTAGAACTAACATGAATTAGAACTAATATGTGGAGAATTAGCATATAAATAGTCAACTGAAACTTACTTGTGAATCTTCTGAGAAGTAACTGGCTCCTCTGTCGAGTCTTTCTGCTACGGGAGATGGTATCTTTAAATTATGTACAAAAGCACATGTGCTATCTATTATGCGTAAGTTAAACAATGTAGGGTCTGGAAGCTCATTATTCAGCTCTCCCAATAGAGCTTCCTCTTCATCTGTCATTGGCTTCAAACTCAACGCACCAAAAGTGGGGATTTGATTACCGGGGTAAAAATGAGTAACTTTTTCAGCTAGTTTTACTTTTCGTTCAGGACTTTCAAGTATATCTATACTAATTTTTTCCTTTTTCTTTCTTTTGCCTTCAGTATATGGTGTCCTCTTCCATTTAGATCTCCTACTTACCCTTCTTGGCTGTGGTCTACGCTTTGCTTCCACATTGGTCGCTAGAACTTCTACAAGTTTGTCCACATCATGTTTAATATTCACAAGATCCTCTTCCTCCTGTGCTTCCAACTTATCTACATTCTCCTTCTCTTTATCTACAATATCTTCCTCCTTATCTACACCATCAACAGTATCCTCATCAAAACCTTTGTTATCTACAATAAAATTTTCATTTTCCATATGCTCCTCTTCCTTATCTACCATACGCTCCTCTTCATTATCTACAATATCTTCCATATGCTCCTCTTCCTTATCTACCATATGCTCCTCTTCCATATCTACAATATGTTGCATATGCTCCTCTTCCTTATTTACACTATCATCAACCTTAGTATCTACAGTCTGGTCAACCTTACTATATACCCCCTCCCCTGGAGAAGTAACTGGCTCCTCTTCTATTGCCTCATCGTCAGCAAGATGCTTTACATCCTCTTCAACAATCTTATGTACATGTTCTTGACTGGTGGGCTCTTCCTTATATACACTGCTTGTTTTGGACTTCTGTTCCTCTTGAGCTCCCTGTCGCTTCTTCCTAATTTCATTTGCAATTCCTCTTCAACAATCTTATATACATGTTCTTGCATGGTGGGCTCTTCCTTATATACACTGCTTGTTTTGAACTCTTGTTCCTCTTGAGCTTCCCGTCGCTTCTTCCTAATTTCATTTGCAATTTTCTGTTTGATATTTGACTTAAGCAGCACCGGGTCTATAACCTCATCATGTCTTCCACATTTTTCAATTATCCTGTTAAGCCTGTTGATCTCAATCATGAATTCTTTACAATATTTGCTCTTGGTCTGCTTTGTAGCATCAAGAAGTCGCTTGAGAAATTTAGCAGAATTTCTCCAAAATGTGAGTTGCTGCTCAATGGGAAGAACATTGATCTCCTCTTCATCGTCAAAAGCAACGTCAATATGCTTTGCCATGATCTGTTATTGATACAAGATTATAATTTTAAGTAGGATTAAACATAATTAGGATATTCTTTGCAGTTAGTGTGAAATGAGTACGACTTAACATAACAGGATACTTACGTAACCTATTGAGAAGTTCTTAGTAGTTTCTTCCTGCAAAGTCTTCCTCTTTGCCTGACGCTTTTGCTGAAGAACTTCATCCCTCTGTTCAGCGGGAAGTGAATGAACATGACCAGGAGAAGCGACCTCCGCAATAGGCCTATGGACAAATGTTATTGACGCTGACTTAGCCTTTGAAATAATTGTCGGCATCCTCATAGATGCGATTCTCTCCTCCCCTAATGCCCAATTTGTCATTGGAGGTCTGGAGGTGTCTAAGAGGGCATATTTTTTTATGCCTGTCATCTCGTAGTACCAAAGCTGTACCAAATAATATATTTACCATTAACATTTAATACTAGACTAGACTAAAGAGAATAAAATATGGCTGCATCTAGAACTAACATGGTGTAAATTAGTACGTGGTACGACATGAATTATGATAGAACTAACATGACCTATGATAGAACTTAAATGGGTGCAGATAGAACTAACACTCTACAGAATAGAACTAACACTGTGCAGATTAGAACTAACACTCTACAGAATAGAACTAACACTGTGCAGATTAGAACTAACACTCTACAGAATAGAACTAACACTGTGCAGATTAGAACTAACACTCTACAGAATAGAACTAACACTGTGCAGATTAGAACTAACACTCTACAGAATAGAACTAACACTGTGCAGATTAGAACTAACACTCTACAGAATAGAACTAACACTGTGCAGATTAGAACTAACACTCTACAGAATAGAACTAACACTGTGCAGATTAGAACTAACACTCTACAGAATAGAACTAACACTGTGCAGATTAGAACTAACACTCTACAGAATAGAACTAACACTGTGCAGATTAGAACTAACACTCTACAGAACGGAACTAACACTGTGCAGATTAGAACTAACACTAGACCAAAGAGAATAAAATATGGCTGCATCTAAAACTAACATGGTGTAAATTAGTACGTGGTACGACATGAATTATGATAGAACTAACATGACCTATGATAGAACTTACATGGGTGCAGATAGAACTAACATGGTATATCTTAAAACTAACAAGGTGCAGATTAGAACTCACACGCTACAGACAGATTAGAACTAACACGATGCAGAATAGAACTAACACTGTGCAGAATAGAACTAACACTCTACAGAATAGAACTAACATTGTGCAGATTAGAACTAACACTCTACAGAATAGAACTAACACTGTACAGATTAGAACTAACACGCTACAGAATAGAACTAACATAGAATAAGTTAGAACTAACAATGCATAGGTACGAACTAGAATGAAACAAGATCAGTAAAATATGGAACTTACACATAATAGTGTCATGCAACCTGGGACATATGCGACCATTTGCTTCTTCTTTCCCTCCAAAGCAACTCCAATGCCCCCTGATAATTTTATTATAAAATAACGGGGCCCATGCAACAGAATTGACCCTCTGAATGCTATCCAGGTACCTGAGTAAGGGTTTAGGGATACCTTCCCCTGCTATGGGACTCCATATCATAGAGCATTGGTACAAAATTTGTAGCAGAACAAAATCCTCGATATCCCGTTTTTTTGTAGATTCAACTAGCCGTTCAAGTAGCCCTTCAAGATGTTTACGTTGGCTGGTTTCTGATTTTTTTAACTTCTTACCCTCTTCAGAAATGAAAAGCTTAGCGAAGTATTCCAGCCATATTCTGCTTCTTGAGTCCCTATTGTTCCTTATGTCCTCCCCATAAATTGAGAAATAAGTATGGTTATGGACCCATTGCAAATCAAAACTAACATTTTTTATACCCCCACTTTTTGAATCAGGTATACAAAAGGTGTTATTATCTCTGTCGAAAAAGCTCAGCAGCAGCTCAAGGGTAGGCCGATCAGGCGCAGGAGCCCCAAAAAAATATAGTGCTGAAATATAGAACCGCAGTATGCATCCATATGCCACTGACGGATCTTCGGGGCAATGCGCTTCATAAATCCCCAATAAGCCCCGATATTGGCCGTTAACCTTAGTGTTTCTGCTGAGCCTGTTAGAGCAATTTTTTCCCTGCAAAAAATTTTCGAATTTGTAAGTTCAATAAGACATATGAAACAATATTAGACCTAGCACTAACGGGAACAAAATAGAGCTAACACGTAATATTATAGAACTAACATTGGACTCATATTAGAACTAACATTGGACTTAAACTAGAGACTTAAACTAGAACTAACATTGGTCTCAAACTAGAACTAACATTTGACTCAAACTAGAACTAACATTGGACAAAGCCTAGAACTAACAATATTAGACCTAACACTAACGGGAACAAAATAGAGCTAACACGTAATATTATAGAACTAACATTGGACTCAAACTAGAACTAACATTGGACTTAAACTAGAACTAACGTTGGTCTCAAACTAGAACTAACATTGGACAAAGCCTAGAACTAACAATATTGGGTTAATCTGCATTGTCTCTTCGCGGTATAACATAAGCCTAGAACTAACAATATTGGGTTAATCTGCATTGTCTCTTAGAACTAACAATATTGGGTTAATCTGTATTGTCTCTTCGCGGTATAACATAACACTTACTGTTTTTTTGAGGGGGGTTTGTTGGTACGACCAGCCACAGCCTTCCTCCTTTTCTGGGCTCGCCATTGTATTTCCTCCTTTTGCATTTCGATGAGGGTTTGTGTAGCTTCCGTAGCTTCCTCCGCGCTGCCACCCGCAGATGAAGCGTCTTTTCCTTCCAACTCGGCTCGGTGCCCGACCTCGTAGTCGTTACTGGATTCTTCCGTAGACGACATTTTTCCGGCGGCGAAAACCCTAGAAACGTTGAAATTCGTACAGAAATTAGGAAGATGAAGAGTTCTTGATGACGGTGCTAGGTGGAAGAGAGAGACGAAAACCCTAGAAACGTTGAAATCCGTACAGAAATTAGGAAGATGAAGAGTTTTTGATGGCGGTGCTAGGTGGAAGAGAGAGAAAGAGAGGGAGAGTACTTGTAAAGGTGAGGGGCACATTAACCCAGCTCAGTCCCATTAGAGGGCAAGATCGTAACTTCCTCTGGGTTTTTTCTGAAAAAAGTCAATTCGGGACCTCGTCGCAAATACTATGCGTATTTGGGGCTATTCCACATGGGGCAAAATACAGGGGGGCTAGTCACACGAAGTTCCCACTTTTGGGGCCTGAACACATTTTTCCCTATAAAGAATGGGCTCATCAGGATAAGGGTATCCCTTCGGTTCATTTCCAAGTTCCTTAACATAACAAAAGTATGAACCAAGGAGAAAGGCCACAGATATTCTAACAAATTGGCCACAGATATTCTAACAAATTAAAATAACGACTTATAAGCAAAGGAATGTAATCTGATCTTAGAATGAGATAAAAAGCTGAAGAAAAATTAAAAAAAAATAGATAGTGGTACCTTTCGTTTCCATTTGCCAAGAATGCAAAACAATTGTACAAGCAATATCAGCATGTCATCTGAACCACACCATCATAGCTTAGCACATCTCATTTCTATTTGTCAAAAATGCAACACAATTCCAGTCTACCAGATAATCTGCAGATATTATTTTCCAAAACTACATAAAAAAATATCTAGTACATCCACCTGAAATATAACCAAAGAAATCACTGGCCCAATAAAACAACATTTAGCAATCCGCTAACTTCCATCGGAATATAAGAAGCAGATACCACAGACTTCTCGAATATTGTCTAGTTTATCACTTGCAAATGAAGGAAATGATCCACACCCGTCCTTCTTGAAGTACAATTGGAAACAGTGGCCGAAAGTTACTGCAGGAAAAAAAAGATTCTATGTTTCTTAACATGGTCAAGATACCCAAATTGATATAAGGCAATCAAACCTGAACCCGAGTGGCAATCACCTCTTGTCTTTTTGATAGCTTAAATTTCTTTTATTGACTTATGCAGACTCTGTTCCGAAGGAATTTCTAGTGTTCCACCAGCATGTTCCTTACCAGGCTTCACAACTGCAGCAGAAAGTGCAAATGCACAACTACACAAATAAATAAATGGACAGAAAGGCATTTTTTTTAATTATGGTTATAATCAACGGTGTAACCAGGATCTGAAGCTTTTGGTTTTTTTTTTTTTGGTTGGGTGGGTGGGTGGGTGGGTGTGGGTGTGTGGGTTGATTCTTTTAAATATAAAACATGTATACCAATAAATAACTCTCAACCATATAAAGAATTTTTGGAGAAAAAGGATAGGGTCTCAAATTTGAAAAACCCCATTTGAGTATTACATATGAAATAAATGTTAAAAAACTTAATTGTCTTGGTTATTGGGAGAGTAATCACATATATGAGGTGCAGGATCTACTGAAAATTCTTCTAAATTCCGGTATATCTGATTAAATAAAGATTTAGAAATCACTAGAAGTTCTTGGATGGTTTGATAGAGGTTGAGTAACGCCTAATGTTTTAAATATCGGCTGATAAAATGATATTTTCGGCGATTTATCGGTTTTGGGGGTCTTCCGGGTATGATAAGTTTGATTCTAAATCAATTATCTTTTTTAGATGTTTATGGCTGATAATGCAGCGATAAAGTGAGTTATCGGCCGATATTGTCAGTCCAAAAATCGAAATTATTAACATTTGCTTTGAGTTTTGATTTTGGGCAACAGGCATCTATTCAATGCACTTTAAACCCGACCCGACCCGGATTTCTACCATTGGTTAGTGATCCTAAACATAATTATTTACATTTTGGTACGCTATATTTCATTAAGTATGGTTAAATTACATTTTAGAATATTATATTATGTATATCACCATGCAGTAATGTTACTCCGATAAATACTACTTATCCTTAATATATCCCTGATATCCGCTATTCGATATGAATTTTGATCGTCTGATAAATCCCCGATAACTAACAAGGTTTTAAATGTCGGCCGACATATCGGTTTGAGGGCTTGACCGACACGACATGGACGATTTTAACTCGTATGTCGGTTTTCAGGGCCAAATCGAAAATATCAGGGTCATATCGGGCATATCAGCCTATTTTTTTACTTTAAAAAATCGGCCGATATGGTACCTTTTTTTAAGATCTGTTTTTTGTTATCATGTTTGGGTTTAGTGATAAATACTCAAACCCATTTGACCCGTTCTCATATTTAAGGGTTTCTTATGAACCCGATAGAAAGAATTTATGAACCTAAATCCATATATTATTTACTTTTTTATATGTTTAGTCTACAAAATTTATAAAGTATGCTTATATTGAATTTATGAATGCTTAGATTACATTTAGGACATTATATTATACATATGCGCACTACTCGATATGACAATTCAATATTTAGTCAATGTCCCCCGATATATCCCCGATTTCCGCTATCCGACATGAATTTCAGCCATCCGACATGAACCCGACATCCGACATTTAAAACCTTGATAACTAATATTTAAAACCTTGGTAACGCCTACTTTTGTACACAAAATTTTGATTTGGCTTTGGGTTTCTTATCACAATTTTATCCACACATCCAAAAAAAGGATAAATAACGTTGATTATAATTTTTTCCAAGCTAGCTAGAGTATATTTGAATCTATTGAAGGAATTATAAACAATAGTTAATAATATCATTAGACAAATTAACTATGAATCTATGATAGATATATTTTTATTTATTTATTTTAGAGTCTAAAATCTAAATATGGAGAAAAAATAAAACTTCGAAGAAAATATCAAGTAATTGAGAATTCTCTATTTGATCCATCAAAAAAAAAAAGAATTCTTGATTTGAGAAATTTTAGCACAGGCTCATGCGTTTCCATGTTGTAATTTCAACTATACTATAGTCCCTAGCGCAGCAAGATATATTCAAAAGTGGAAAATTTATACTTGCAGGCAGACTTCTTATAAGACACTTTGCATCAGTCAAGAAGCAAAGTTAACGCGCTATAAATTAGAGGGTGGAGCCCACGGGGCACGTGCCCCCTCTTGACCTCATCTGGCTCCATCAATGGTTATAACTATGTTTAGTTGGAGTTTTGATGACATACATACATGTACAGTAAATGGCAAACCAACAATTTTTCTTCACAAGTAAACGTGCTGTGAATATATTCTAAATAGAAGAAAATTATTAGCAACAACTTTTTCATGCTAGCATTGCATATAGCATGCCTTAAGTCCATTTTTAGAACATATTAACCCATTCACTCACAGGAACTTATTTTGTAAATTAATAAGCCAATTCTTAAAATAAATTTACCAGGAGAATTACAGATTATCTTAGTTATGCATGCGACATGATACTATATCTTTTCAGATCACAGGAGAAACATATATAACAAAAGTTGGAATTACATAACAAGTAGGAACAAATACAATTATATTATGAGGTTAATAAATTCTGCTGCATAATGTTTTATCCTACATATGCAGGATACAAAGTAGATTGGTCAAGTCATGCTGATTAGAATGCACAAGTGCAGTGTGCAGGGAACGCGTTGACACACATACAGATGCTTGCAACCTTGCACCCATAGACACACACACACATATACCTGCACAACCAGATGAAAATAAACAGGTGTGCACATACACAAACATACCCCACAAGTGCATGCACAGACAGCAACCTCCCACCCTCATGGAAGCACATGCACAGAAGGGGAGGGGGAAGAAGGGCACGTACAGAACATATTTAAATATGTGAACATGTAAATGTGCAATAAAATGAAGGTAGTCATGCCGGTGCACTAAGCTGACTGCAAAGTGGACCAGCACAAGACTTTACCCACCCCTATAAATATGCATTTGCATCATCCACTTGAGAACTAGTGCTCCTTGTACATAAAGAACAAGTGTTCACTTCATATGATTTAAGTTGGACAGCATTAAGGCTACATTATGTTTTTCTTTATGTGTTTCATAATTTGTTTTTTCGCTTCAACTCCAAAAGAAAAGGAAAGCTCTAGATCTTTTTATTGCGTAAGAGATAAAGATATTCTTGGATTTTGGCATTCTTGTAGTGTACAATGATTTTTCTTCATAAAGAAAAACTTATTTTGGGTTTAACTCACGTCTTCAATTTATTGATCTTTTTTATGCTCTATGAAAAAATAGAGTAGAAGGATGTATTAGTTTCTTACAAAGGGAAGAGAAAGGTAGAAAACTAGACTATTACTCAATATCTTAGTTTAATCATGTTTTTACATAGTTTTAGCAACATTTTTCGTTCTAAGGCCCTGAGAAATTCAAAGAATGACATCAAAACTATGTTGCATAGACACGGGTACAGGTACGAATACGGGTACGGGACACGGTAAATTTGTAAAAAGTAGGGTACGGGAACATGGTTGTGTATATATAAAATAAATCACTTTAGATCAATATTAAATTACATACCTACTACATTTTCATGCAAATATTCATGCAGATCAATGGCTTTCAAAGGAATATCAGCTATATATATAACAATTATCTTTCATGTCTCAACCTTTTCTTTTATTTTTAGGTTCTTTCAATGTATTCAAACTCATTCTCAATCTCCCAAATGAAACAAGCCCCTTTGAACATTTAAAAGGGGAAAAAAGAAAAGAAAACAAATCAAACTTCTTTGAAGGTAACAACTGCTACCCTGCTGCTATCTTTACCAAAAAATGACAAAATTTAATGAGGTATCATGATTAAACAGCCCTAACTTTACCCACGTGGCACATGATGTCATCTTCCACTTAAACAAATTTAAAAAATAAGAAAAGAGGGTGAGACGTGAGAGAGAGAAGTGAGAGAGAGAGAGTTACCCCCATGTGATGCATGATGTCATGTTCCACTAAAGCAATAAAAAATTAAGAAAAGATGGGGAAAGAGAGAACAGAGAGCATCTTCTTCATCTCTTTGCTTAGCCTCAAACCTTAGAAACCTATAGGCAATTTTCTTGAAAAAAAAGGAAAATCCATGGCTAGCGAAAATTTCCCGTGTCCACGCCGTTTGGGTGCGGATGCGTACTTGAAACGTGTCGGACACGGGTATGGCCCCCTACTAGCCGTGTCGGGGTATCCTAGCACCAAAAGAATTGGAGAAAGCTTCACAAGGAAAGAACAAATTAGTAGACACTAGCTCCAATATCCATAAACAGAAGAATAATCACGGAGCAAGTTGGACAAGACATGATTGTGAGCATGATGATACAGAAGAGATTACAGATTGTGAGGTTCTATAGCCACAATTCAGTAGAAAAGAAGTTGTTTGATCATCCACTACTGCTTCGAGAGATAGCCCCAAGATCAAGTGTGTAGAAGAGTTGATTTCTTTGCCAAGGAAGTTCAAAGACAAGATAATGGGTGGGGCATTTCATGCCTATTTTCCCATTCTTATGAAATTTATTTTAAGAAGAAATCAACATTTGGCACCAAGATAGTATAGCAAATTAACAACCTAGACCCTAAGCTCCAGAAAATGATCTAAGTTCTACATTATATTCTCTATGCCCATTGGAAAAACAATGAATGGAGACTGGAGAGTCCGTACTATCAAGAAGCCTCGTTTACTTCTTGTAAGCATTAAAGTGCAAGGCTCATGTCTGAGATTTTTAATAGTAAGCAATGTGGATAGTGCACCTTAACCTTCAGGTATTCTAAGAATATAGTCTGTTCCATCACCCTTGTTTTGATTCATAAACCATGGTCTGCAAACAGTCTCAAATGAGTAAGAATAATTTTTGCTTATAGAAAAATTATAAACGGTCCAGGTCCCACTGAATGGAACGATTCTGTTCCTTGATCTGTGTACTTTTGTTTGTTTACCCTAAATACTTGTGTTCTTATAAAAATTGGGTTGGAGAATCCACTAATTGAAGTCTGATTGAGATTTTGAGAAGCTCACCACAATCAACTACTTTGCTAATGATATTAGCGGTGTCTTAATTTCAATCATAACTTGTCAACTTGTGAATTCTAATGGTTAAGATTTTGTTTGATTTGCTTTTAAGTTAATTCTTTGCCCAAGAACTGTCATTGGGGTTTTTGCATTATCATATAATACCTAACACCTGAGAATAAAAGACAGAAAAGAAAGGTTAAACATATGGCATCCAAAGGAATATATTACATCAGCAGGTATATAAATACACTCTTTTCAGTATTACAAATAAATTTACAGTTCATACCTAAGGCTTACAATAGTTTGCTATGATAAAAATCTTGTCACTTGTGAATAAGGCTTTCGCATGTGCATGGGCATGCGCACATTGGTATGAGAATGATCCAAATATACACTTAATTGAATAAGTAAATTAAAATTAAAAATCTTTCTTTTAGGACAATGTTGATTGGCAATGCAAAAAAGCAAGCAAGACTTGGTTCATGAACTTCATATGAAGCATATCAACGTAGTGCTGATGCTGAAGAGTTTACACTTTAAAAATAACATGGACCTCACTTAGGCTTGATTCTTCCTTCATCTGGATCATCCACAAAGCCAGAGGACGAAAGACCAAGAAGAACCAGAAACAAGTTTTTAACAATCTCTAAACTTTTGTAGCAGACTATATCAAAGGTTACAAGATCAAGGAAACAACAAAATTGCATTCAAAAGACCAATTTTGAGATTGCCTACCTAAAATTAAATCTATTACTGCAAATAATTTTCACTTGCATTAACAAGTCTCAACCTTATTATGTTACCACCATTACTTTTATAGAGTTCAATTATAACATCTTTTTAGCAACTCTGGCATTGCCTGAAGTTGTATTACAAGTTTACAACTCATTATATATAGTCTCAAAATACTATAGTTGGAACCCTATACTTCTGACTGTTGTTACATCAACCGACTTAAACCAAACACAGACAGAAGAAAATTAGCTGTGTTTGGGTAATCCCCAAAAACATGATCACGAATACTTCTTACCCTTCACCAAGAGGTTTGCACTGACAGCTGTCGCCTCACTCCAGAAAGAGTGCATGCTCAGCTAAGCCAATGTAAGGCTATCCAGGATTAAAATAGCTTAGTTTAGAGATTGACAAGAGAACCAAACAAACAATAATTAGGCCATTTATGCCTTGAGGCTGAAGTTCACCATTACATAATTAAGTGGGCACTTTACGCAGATGCTGAAATGAAATTAGATTATAGCCAACTCAAGCAACTCTATTCTTCCAAATCAACCTAGCTCTTATTTCCTCATATCAATTTCACTAAAAATATATATAAAGTTAAATCAGCAGAGGCATCATATCTCACATCAAAACCCTAGATTTTTACCAAAATTGCATCTTTTTCGTAATACTGAGGATTATTGTGGAATTCTAAGCGTACCGTAGCCTCCATGATCGCCGAGCTTAGCCTGGACGATCATGTGAGTGATGAAGTGAGAGGCCTCCTTCGCCTCGTCGAGGAGGCGTTTGATCTCCGCCTCCGACGCCACGCTCCGGTTGTCCTCGAACCTCCGGCCCGGCGAATCTCCGCCGCTGATTCCGACAGCATGAGTGTGTCTCCGGCGAACGATTTCCTCGTCGCCTTCAGCAGCGATCTGTACGCCCCCAGCGCTTGAGCCCTGCCCGCCATTTTTTTCTATTTCTCTTCTCTCCGGATTCTCGAAAGCGATGTCAGCTGAGTTCCTCCCGTCGATTCGACGCCTATGGGTTTGGGCTTGTAATGGGTCCGTTCTGTTGAGGACCGACCCGATCCATTTTGGAAAACCAGGCCGGGCTACTTATATTGGGGCCGATGAAGTTCTAGCCCTGTCCGCTGGGATCGAATTTGAGAGAAAACATATTTAATTGATCTAGTTTACGCTAATTAAAGTTTTATATTTTCTTGAATAGAACTGCACTTGGTTGTAGTTGTAGCATAGAATTCAAGCGTAAGTAAGGTGAAGTGAGAATCATTAACAAACTGGCACTAGTAGAAAAACGATCAACCTAGACGGAAATTTCTGTCTAGGTTGATTGAAATTCCGTCTAGATTAGGTCATTTAGACGGAATTCCGTCTAATTTGAGTGGTTTATTTTGCTTCCGTCTAGATTGATACAAACTAGACGGAATTTCGTCTAGGTTGATCAATCTAGACGGAAGTCAACCTAGACGGAATAAAGAATTCCGTCTAGGTTGACAGCCCAGACGGAATTCCGTCTGGTCTGTCAACCTAGACTGAATTTCCGTCTAGGTTGGTTTTTTACAACCTAGACGGAAATTCCGTCTAGGTTGACTCAATATAGACGGAATTCCGTCTAGATTGCCTTTTTTCGGGAAAAAAAAATAATTAAAATTTGTATTTCCCTGTACAATTACATTAATATTTGAATACATCCAGAAAATATTGTACACGCCACATTCAACCATCCAATCATAATCAAAATTCATAACAATTCCATTCAAAAACATCTATATAACCAAATCCAACACATTGTACAAATCCAACCATCCACTTCAAAATATACATCAATCAGTTCCGTCTAAAACACATCCAACAACATATATACTAACAATGCACATGACTAAGATATGATACACGACATGAATAAATGTCGTGTTATAACAAATAAAACTGTTTATTGCATTAAAAATAAAAAAAACCTCATTCATCGTCGTCGGCGGGGGTATCTCTATCCCGATTACGAGAACGGGTGCTGCTCCCTCCAATATCTCCACTCTGAATGTTTAATTGAATAATCATTATGTGGTGTTTGATAACATATTAGATAAAAATAAATTTATAAATATAAGAAAAAATAAGGTACCTGAGCACTACTCTGTCTAGCGCCGGAATTATCGCCAATCGAGCTAATGATCCGTATGACACCACCATACGCGCTATAAGGAATAGCACCGCCTAAATATTGTATAACATACCCCATGAGATCATCCATCGAGTTCGCCGTCAGCGCAACTCTAGTCATCTCATTAGTCACCTGAATATGCAGCTCCATGTCAATTTTGTCAATCAAGAAGGCATAGATACGTGCGACAAATGGCATAGCCTGAAAACTGCTTGTGGCTGCTCTATGCGATGTAGATGGTGTAGAGGATGCTGTGGACGATCTAATGCTTATACCGGGTAAAGCTCCGACACCATGCAGAGGATATCTTCCTCTCCTATTATTAGGGAGAAATAAATATTAAACTTTGCTCTCAAATTCAATAATGGTAAACAAATATAAATAGTATGTAGTATTCAAATTGATTCGATTTTTCACCATCCTTACCTATTATGACCCATCAGGTTCTGTGTGAGATTGATGTTCACAGATGCAGCCTCCTTGGATGCAGTCTCAAATCCCTCCTAAATCACATATTTATAGTTAATTCAATATAATGACCATATTATTTGTGTTCTCGTTTCCTCGTAATGTTAACAAAATAGAATTAATAATACTACTCAAGATATGTATAAGTCTCACCACTAACTCGAGATTTGCCGTGATCTTATCCCGATTCTGAAAATTTCGGCAGCACCTACCCGCTGTTCTCCCTGTACACTGTGCGGATGTTATTATGCGTATCAGCAATAGCCCGAAACGCAGAACAACATACGCTTATTGTACACGGAGAACAACGAATAGGTGCTGTCAAAACTTTCAAGAATGAAAATATACAAAGTATACAAAGTTGGATGTATGCACTACTATATTCCTAACCCGTCCGAGAAGGACAGATCCAATAATTACGAATTTCAGTACCAATTTTTTATTCCTATAATATAAAATAAACGCTCATTTTTGGAAGAAAACTTCGTCTCCTACCCAAATCTGAGTCGTATATCATATATTATAAGTCCAAATAATTGGATGTAATTATTGGACGGAAGTCTAGGGATAACGTTATTTTTTTATTCACCTAAATTGGATTATAACACATTATAAAAATTTATAATGTGTTATATATCACTCTATTTTTTACAAAAAATTATTTCACATATTTTCACATCACAAACTTAAATAATCACACATACTTATAGCACGAATGAAACTTAAATGAGTTAGGGTTTATAAGTGTTTAAAACTCAATAATGATAACTAGTGTTGTTCAAATGAATTAACATGTATTTAATTAAGTTAGGATTTTCAGAATTGAACTCGTTTATTTTTCAACATAATTAGGGTTTTTAACCAAATTCAACAATAATTAATAATAAAATTAAAATTTCTAAAGCTCAGTAGAAAAATCATACCTTTTAAACTGATTTCCGCAACGGACACCGCCGAAGGAGGGGGGGTCGGGAGGTTCCGGAGGAGGGGGGGTCGGGAGGGGGATGGGGGAGAGAGGGGGCGAGGGGCTGCCGGGAGGGGATTCTAGTCCGTTTCTCGCCCGCGGGAAGGGGGGAAAGGGATGAGGGGGCTGTCGATGGGGGAGGCGGAGGGGGGGGAGGAGGAGGTGGAGGGAAGGGCCAGGGGGGGGTTAGGGGGAGTGGGCTGCCGAGGGGGGAGGGGGGAGGGGAGAAGGGGGAGAGGGGGTGGTCGGAAGAGGGGGGGTGGTCGGAAGGGGGAGTTGGGAGGGGGAAAAGGGGTGGTCGGGGAAGGGGGAGTGGGCACCAAGGGGGAAGGGGGTCGGATGGGGGAGGGGGCGGGCTGCGAGGGGGGCGGGGGGGCGTCGGGAGGGGTCAAGAGGCGAGGGGGGTCGGGAGAGGCGGGTGGCCGTACGGGAGGGCCCGGAGGAGGGGGGGTCGCGGAACAGTGAGGTGGGGAAGTGGGGGAGCGAGAGTAAGAGATTTAATGAGATAGATTGGGGGGGGCTGCTAGGGCATTTAAATTGCCCTAAGGCAACCTAGATAGAATTTCCGTCTAGGTTGACCATTCAACCTAGATAGGAAATTTCGCGTCTAGGTTGAGCAATCCTAGACGGAATTTCCGATCTAGGTTGACGCTTTCGGCGTCTAGATTGAACAAACTAGACGTGAAATCTTTACGCGTCTAGTTTTGATTCAACCTAGACGGAACAAACTAAGACGGAATTAGTTCCGTCTAGTTTGACTGTCAAACTAGACGGAAAATAATTCGTCTAGTTGTTCGGCGTCTAGGTGTGCTCGTTTTTTCTACTAGTGTGGATGTTTATCGAAATCAATCAAGAGAGTAGACCTGAGATAGGGCTGTCCATTACCGGGCCAGGCCTAGGCCCGGCGCCGGCCCGGGCAAAAACCGAAGCCCGGAACCGGGCGGCCAGGTTGCGGACCGCGGGCTGGGTCCGGGCGCCGGGGCCCTGAGCGGGCCGGGCTTCTCCAGGCCGCCGCGGGTTTTGGTTTTTTTTTATTTTTTTTATTTTTAGCAAAATCTAAATGCAAAATGTAAACACAATTTTGATTAAAAACATATTGATTAATCAACTATAATTATTTAATTATAAATATAAAAAATTATAGAAATTAAAATGATATACAAATAATTGTAGAATATAGAAACAAACAAAATTAAAAATAATTATAGAATTCAAGAGCCTAAGAGCCCAAGGCCGAAATGCAAAGACATAAATATATATGTTGGTGACAGGGATTTGAACGCAGCTAACCTCCACTCCTAAATCCTAAATTTTACAGCTAGACTAAGTAGTCCCTAAAATACTTCATGTAATTCATATATGTATATGTATACATATATATACTCTACACATAATAAATATATTATACATAAGACAAATTGTAAATACTTATAGAAAAATCTACATAAACAAATTATATTATACATAAAAATAAAATATATATATATATATATATATATATATACTATATATATATATATATATATATATATATATATATATATATATATATAGTATATATCATATATATATATATATATATATGATATATATATGGTAAGTGAATCTAAGGTGACTCCCTAGATGTAGCCTAAGGATGCGCAATCTCAGCCATTGATCTCAAAAACCCCAAAATCATCTCGGCCATTGATTTCAAACAATTCCCAAAAAAAGAAAAAACAAATTTCTAAAATTACACCCTATTGATGACCGCGAGCGTGTTTAGCCCAAAAAAAAACCCCCGATCGGCTTCGTCTCCTCGCCCTCAAAAAACCGCTCGACATCCGCAAAAAAAAACCCCCTCCATCTTCTTCTTCGTCTCCTCGACCTCGCCCAAAAATCGAGCTCGACGTCCGCAAAAAACCCACCTGTCGTCTTCGTCTCCTCGACCTCGCCCAAAAAAAACGCCCAAAACAAAAGCTCGAAGTCTGCTCTCCTCGACTTCACCGTCTCCTCGACCTCGCTCCGGCATCGTCTCCAGTGAGATCGCCGCCGTCTCCTTGAACTCGCCGTCGATATCCGCCGTCGACCTCCGGCAAATGGGTTGGATAGGCCTGATGTGGTTGTGGTCGGGGATGTTTACTATATTCCTCTGAATTCAGGTGGGTTTTTTTATTTTGAGGAAAACAGTTTGCGGTTTTTAATAGAATTTTCCATCGTTGCATAATCTCGACATTAACTTGCTTATCATTTGTCTAACACGTAGTTATATTCGATTTTGCCTGATGAGGAAAAAGCTTGCGGTTTTTTTTATTTTGAGGGTAAAGTTTGAACAAAAGAAATCTTATGTTTTTAACACGTAGTTATATTCGATACATCGACAGGTTTGTTTTCTCTATTTTCAGTATACGCACGCTCAGCGTCGCCGTTGAAACTCGTACTCGCCCTCGACATCCCCTCGCTTGTAGCTTGC